AGTTAAATAGAATTGTATTTATGGTGAATGTCATATATTTAGAGAGATTCTAGGTTCATTGCTTGGTGGACTAAATCACCATCTCCCTATAAATAGAGGCGTTCTATTCCATTGTATTCATCCCAAAATTCAATAAGAATTCCCTCTCTCTTTCTTTCTCTGCAATATTGTTCTCCTACTTTTATTCTTACTTTTATTCTTTCATAACATGGATCATATTTTTTTTTCAATGATGATTGTCGTTATCTGATGGTATTCCAACAATAATTCTAATTTTACTAAATCAAGATCCTGACATGGCTAAAGAAGCACGGATGTCCTTAAAAATTTTTGCATGTTGTCTTTTGCAAAATATTTGAGCTTTCAAAATAGAGATGGGATAATAGAATTTTCCTGAAGATATCTCAAAACATTTTGCAAAATACCATATGCAAACAATCTAGGTATGAGTGTTAGAACATGCGCAGCGGAAGCAAGCATACAACCAGGCATCAATTACATTGAAACTAGACAACCGTAATAATAATGAGATCAGGAACACTAACCTCTTGAAATAGTTGCACAAATTCTCCAAGCAGCAAGAATCCAGGGCTGTAGTCTTCTGCTATTGCCTAGTAAAACCTTGAACACTTTTGCTTTTGGAGTGGGCAAGAACAATACAACTCTAGGGTTAGTTAATAGGAGAAACCTGTCTCTCTCTTTTTCTTTGTAAATACACGAATTTTTAAGCCCTAAAATAGGCTTAAAATCATGTAAGACTAGGATTCCATAAGTAGAATCCTACTCTAACTCAAAAGTAACTTTTCTCCCAAGCTACTTTTTACCCAAGTCTGTCCAGGTTTTACTAGGTATAGCAGGGACCACAGAAATAATAAGAGGCTACTAATTATAGTACTAATTCGAAAGTAGGCAAGAATTAGATCCTACTATAATTAATTGCAATTTATTCCACTAAAAACTGCAATTGAACTCCTCAATATGAACTTCAAAAATTCATCAACACTTATTTTAACTCCCCATGTTAAGATTTCAAATTACCAGTTAATTAAATTAAATCACTAAAAATTTAATTCAATCAAACTAATTAAATCCTTTATAATTCCGCTTAAACTATCTCATGTGATGGATACAAAATCCACCGGCCGGGTTTTCACATGAAAACTTATAAGCTTATATAAAGGGGTATTATCAAACCCAGAAACCAAGTCATGGATTCTATCAACTAATTATTATTCACAAATGATATTTGTTATTGTCCAATTTATTAGGCATATACTAACTTCTAAATAGAGTCGTACCTTTTGATAAATCAAAACAATAAACAAATTACATTGATCATAATAATTATATCAAGATTAGGAGTATAAGCTCATTTAATGAATTAGAGAAATGTTTATATGTATTCAGTACAAAAATACCTTTTCTCTACTTGGTCCGTTCAATATACACTGAGTATACTAGCACAAGAAAGTTGGAGTAGACTTACTCGCATAATCAAGACAAATTATACAATAATCTTTGCTACAATCATCAAGATATTTTGTCCGATAATATCTTCGATTGTGAACATAGTTTATTAATTATGAGAACCAACAATTTAATCTTCTGTGTATGAGGTAGACTCCATACACTAAAATTGTCTACTACATAATCAAAAGGACACACATGTTACAAATGATCTATTTAAAATAATGCTTTATTGAATTGAATAAATTAAATAAACAATTGTTTCATAAAGAACAAAAAAATAATACTATGTCTAAACCGCAGTTAATAGTATATCCCAACAATATCCCACTTAGACTCATAACCATGCGTCTAATATTTTAAACCCCATTCCTTCTACATGCTTGTCAAAAAATCTTCTTTGTCAAGCTCTTTGTAAACGGGTCTGCCAAATTATCCTCCGATGCAATCTTCAACACTCTTGCATTCACCTCTTTGTGTTATGTCCTGAATTAAGTGATATTTACGCTCAATATGCTTACTTCTTTTATGGCTTCTTGGTTCCTTCGAGTTTGCAACTGCACCACTATTGTCACAATAAGAGTACAATTGGTGCTTGAACCGAAGGAACCACATTAAGCTCTTTCAGAAAGTTCCTGAGCCAAAACAGCCTCTTTTGGCTGCTTCAGATGCAAGCCACATATTCGGCTTTCCATGGCGGAATCAGCAACACACGATTGCTTGATGCTCCTTCCAACTTATGGCTTCCACCTCCCAAAGTAAAAACATATCCTGAGGTAGATTTTCTAGAGTCTCTATCCGACTGGAAATCTGAATCAGTATAGCCAATGGGTGCAAGATCACCTGAGTGATACACCAACATATAATCCCTAGTCCTTTCAGGTACTTGATTATATGCTTAACAACAGTCCAGTGTTCTCGACCAGGGTTAGACTGAAATCTGCTAACCATGCCAACGGCAAAGCAAATATCAGGTCTAGTACATAGCATTGCATACATAAGACTCCCTACAGCAGAAGCATAAGTGACCGCCTTCATCTTTTCATCTCATCAGTCGTTTTTGGGGACTGATCTCTTGACAGAGAGATTTCCATGTCTAAAGGGGAGAAACCCTTTCTTGGAATCTTGCATGCTAAACCTGGTGAGAATAGTATCAATATAAAGTGCTCGGGACAAGCCTATTATCTTTTGCTTGCGATCTCGCATAAGCTTGATCCCAAGGATATGTGCTGCCTGTCCCAAGTCTTTCATATCGAAACGTGAGGACAACCATTCCTTTACTGAATTCAACATGCTCACATTGTTTTCTATGAGCAAAATATCATCTACGTACAAGACCAAAAATGTAACTTTATCTCCACTCCACTTCTTATAGACACAAGACTCATTTTCACATTGATCAAAACCGAATGTCTTAATCGATGCGTCAAAACAAGTGTTCCATGCCCTAGAAGCTTGTTTCAATCCATAAATGGATTTCTTTTAATTTACACAACATGTGCTCATTTCCACTTTTTATGAAACCAACTGGTTGTGCCATATAGATGCACTCATCAAGACTTCCATATAGAAAAGCGGTCTTGACATCCATTTGCCAGATCTCATAACCGTAATGAGCCACAATGGATAAGAGAATCCTTATGGATTTAAGCATGGCTACTGGCGAAAAGGTTTCCTCATAATCGATCCCTTCTTTTTGAGTAAACCCTTTTGCGACAAGCCTAGCTTTTAAAAGTTTGCACTTTTCCATCCATTCCTCTCTTTTTCTTATAGATCCATCTACAACCTATGGGGTTGACTCCAGTAGGTGGTTCTACAAGATCCTAGACTTGATTTGAGTACATGGACTCCATTTCAGATTTCATAGCATCAACCCATTTATCAGCATCTGTATCATGTAGTGCTTCGTCGTAATTAATAGGTTCTGTATTAGGCTCTTCAGGGATTCTATCATAAGATTCTCCCAAGAGCACAAACCGGAGAGGTTTTCTAATAATTCTCCCACTACGACTAGTCACTACAGGTGGAGGCTGATTTTGTTGTTGAATCACATCACCACTTCCTTGAACTGAGGCCTCAATGTTATTTTCCACACCAAGAGGTGCTAAGATATCATTGACTTCTTCCTGGAGTGCAGGATCCCGCCCAAAATGGCTCTGATAATCAGAGGTATTGTTCTGCCGCGGTCCTACCGCGGTTACGCCAGGACCGCGGTCAGAGGGGCCTGCAGAATCAGAGGCATTGTCCTGCCGCAGTCCTATCGCGGTTACGCCAGGACCGCGGTCAGAGGGGCCTTCGGATTCTTCAGGTTGCATAACAATTTCAGGTTGTTCAACAACCTGAGGTTGCTCAACAATCTGAGGTTGTTCTTGTGCAATCTGCTGCCTATTGACATTTCTCCCACTACGATACTGCAGTGATATGTCAATGCTGGCTTCCGGGATACGTTCAAGGGATGAGTCTTTAGTTATTCCATTATTTAATTCCTGTAAAACTAGTTTACTCCTAGGAGTATGGTTCGTTAGATAGTCCTCCTATAAAAAAGTGGCATTTGTCGTAACAATTACCTTCTTTTCTTTGGGACAAATAAAACAAACCGCAGTTTGTTCCTTTTGGATATCCAATGAAAATGCATACTTCTGTCCTTGATTCCAATTTATCCTCTTTCCCTTTCAGCACATGTGCTGGACAACCCCAAACCCGAATGTGCCGTAAACTTGGCTTTCGCCCAGTCCACAATTCTATTGGAGTTGAAGGTACTGACTTTGAAGGAACCAAAATTAGAATTGTAGTTTGCTGTTTCCAAAGCATATCCCCAAAAGGAAAGAGGCAAATCGAAATAACTTAACATTGATCTAACCATTCCCATAAGAGTCCTATTTCTTCTTTCTGCCACACCATTTTTGTTGTGGTGTTCCTGGGGCAGATAATTGAGATGTAATTCATTATTTGATAAGTATTTTATGAATTTCGCAGAAAGGTATTCACCACCACGATCAGATCGTAATGTTTTGATATATTTATCATGTCGTTTCTCTGTTTCCGTCTTAAATTCTTTGAATTTCTCAAAGCATTCAGACTTACGGCGCCAACAGATAAATATATCCATATTTTGAGTAATCATATATGAAAGTCACAAAATACTCAAAATCACCTCTTGCTTGTATATTCATTAGACCACACAAATCAGAGTGAATTAATTCTAGCTTATCACTGCTCTATTCCCTTTTGAGGGAAATGTCTCTTGGTCATTTTACCTTCTAAACAGGATTCGCATGTTGGTAGTGATTCCACTTTCAATGAACTCAAAGGTCCATCAGAGACCAATCTCGAAATCCTATTTAGATTTATATGGCCTAGACGTAAGTGCCATAAATAAGTCTGACTCAATTCAGAAATACGTTTTCTTATGTGGTAGATTAATGTTATTTAGTTCTTTGGTTGTTGTAGCACAGGGGGAGATATATTAAGAACAAAAAGGTCATGTACTCTAGCAGCTTTGTAGATAAAACGTCTATGAAACTTAATAACAGCAGAGTTATTAGCAAAATAAACATTATAACCAGCATCCATTATTTTCGAAACCGAAATCAAATTCCTTCTAATGGAAGGTACATAGAGAACATCTTTTAAAACTAAAACTCTATCACTACTAAACGAAACACTAATATCTCCTAAAGCTAAAGCTGGTGCTGGCTCGCCATTGGCTTGATAAACGCAAACTTCATTCTCACTTAGCCGCCGCGTTTCCTGAAACCCCTGCAAAGAATTGCAGATGTGATTAGTGGCTCCCGAAATCTACACACCAAAACATGTAGAAACTGCCGCTAAACAAGTTTCAACGACATTTAAATTTGAATTACCTTGCTTAATCAACTTTACCAGATAGGCGGGGCATTGCTTCTTGTGATGCCCGAGTTGCTTGCAAGATAGCACTTGCCTTTGGGCTTGTTCACCACCAGCCGCACCACCAGGTACCAGAACCTTTTGAGCCTTCTTCTTTTTCTTATTGCCTTTCGACTTAGAAATTGAAGGTTTCTCAACATTTAGTGCCACAACTGGAGCTTGTTGTTTGATAATAGATTCTGCCGCTTGCAGCTCATTCAACAATTTCGCTAGTGACAAATCCATTTTGTTCATATTATAGTTCAAGCGAAACTGTTGAAAACTGTCAGGCAGAGTCTGCAGGACCATCTCAACTTGAGGACTCCTTATCAATCACAGCTCCAAGGACCTCCAGTTCATTCAGAAAGACTCATCATCTTCAGAACATGGTCCCTGACCGATGATCCTTCAGCCATTTTTGTGTTCAAAAGAGCTTTCATGGCTGTCTGCCTTAGCTGCGCGATTTTGCTCACCGAACATCTCTTTGAGACTTTTGAGCATATCATAAGCAGACCCCATGGACTGATGCTGATTTGCAAAACATTTGCCATAGAGCCAAGAATGTAACATCGCGCCATCTCATCAGCCTTAACCCATTTGTCATAGGCTTTAACCTGATCATCCGTAGCATTTTCAGATTTTTCTGGGCACTCCTCAGAGATTACAAATTTGTAACCTTCAGCAGTTTGGACAATATCAAGGTTCCTTTTCCAGTCAACATAATTTGGTCCTTCTAACTTGTTTTGGTTCAAAATTGAGGTAAGTGGGTTGAATGAAGACATGGTTAATCTGGGAGATATTCACATTAAATAGATCATTAGTTATGTATTAAGAATGATTAAATTCAAAATTACACATTACACATATAACCATGCTCAGTGAACAGTTAGATTCGTTAAGGAAACTTAACTATTCATGCAAAATATATGAGTGATGTCAGATATTAACCCCATAAATTTAAACAGGACCAACTCAGTTGGAGAGTAAACTGTTAATTTAAGATAGGTAAATATCACTTTTAGAAAACTCTAGTTTCATTCAATCAACATGTAACTCAGTTGGAGAGTAATACAAGTAATGAAATAACTAGAGGCTAAAGAAAAACACAGTAATTTATCTATAATGAATTTATCCGATGTGGAAGAAGACCTATGTCAACATATAAATTCATTATATTACTATAAAACCCGTTTAATTTAGGGATTAGGGCCTAAAATCGCGTATATTCTGCAATTTAGGGTCTGAAGGTTGCATGTGTTATACCCCATTTTAATCGGGTCAAATTAGAGTATGACATATTAGCGATTTTGAGGTTTAATTAATTTTAAGAGAGTCGTCACCTAACTAATTTTAAGGTGAATTAGGGACACCATCTTTTATCTAAATAACGCTAAAGTTTACTTTATTTATATAGTCTACTTAACCTTTAAGACTATGGGTAAGGGTTCTAATTAATCTTATAGAGAAGGTATTAAGCACTCTATATGATCCATTAAATACGGTTAACCGGTCAAACTTAGGTTAATTAATTAAAAAGCTAAGATTATGTAAAAAAGATTCAAGTACATATACACATAGGTTAAAATATTCGTTATATTGGCTTGAATAAGGCTTTCAAAACAGTGAGTAATCCTCAAATTGTTTTGAATAAAACACGTTAAGTTAAGAGAAAATCTTTAAACTTAACTAACAAGAAGCTCAAGAATATATTTGGATTAAACAATAATTTATTAAAAAATGTTCAGATTTGAACTCAAAAAACTTACTTGATCTCAAATGATTAATTACAGAAGAGCTCGTCTAAACTGAAAAAATGGACACAAAGGCCTAATGATACTTAACGCTCGTTTTGGATGAAAATGTATATCAACCGGTTAATCTTATATTCAAGGAAAACAATCTCGTACTTCATGGAAAATCTTAAAGATAGATTAAGACTTAAAAGAATGTTCTACATGTGTATTTACCAAAACACTCGGCTAGACTCAGAAAAATCTAACTTAATGTCGTTAGAAACTCACTTGACGAGAAGTTTTTGGAAGTATCATTTTAAGTCAAACTGATTTTATATTCTTACATATAAATATTGCATTTTATGTGATTAAAATAGTACCAAATTGATAATAAGAGTAAAGATTCTATATAACTAAGCATACTATACCAACACAAATTCTAACATATAATTCCAGAAATTGGAGATAAATTCAATTCACACAGGTCAAATAGCTGAATGATAAGGAAAAAAAAGAAATGAAACGCCATAGGCGTCCCCAAGCATTTTGCTTGTTTTCTTGCTATCGTGTACATTCTGAGGAGGATGGTATGGGATGTGATGACTCCATGCTCGGGTTAGTGTGGAGTCTCGAGTGAGACTCCGTTTTTGCTCCAAGTGCATATACAAAGACAAACAAAAAATAAGAATTAGAAAATGGAATCTGATTCTTTATACTAGATAAGATATAAATAAAGAGGTAAAGACTCATAATATAATTCATCTACAAGATGAAACGCTCCACATAACACTGTTTTCGTCAAGAAGAGATATGAGATTTGTATTCTATAGCTCTGACATCAAGGTTCAATATTTAACTTATGGCAAAACTTTATTCCATGAAAAAAATATTATGACTAAGTGACAATGTCTATCTTATACTATTCAATTACAAAAGCTAGTCAGCTATTTTTGTTCAAGAAATATCACAACAATGGACCAATAAGCCAAATACCCATTTTCCTTATCCAAAAGCAAATTCGGTTATTTTGAGAACTTAGAACATGACGTCTATCACAAAGGCAACAATCAAATATATCCAATATACATCAATTTTAAGATAACTAATATATAAGAAGGAAATGTCGGATTCATGGACAAGGTATCTAGTATCGCATCGGCAGTAAACATATTTAAGATTCAAACACTTCATACTTAGACAGAGGAAAACATATTGAGAAGCTGACGGAGCTTATAGGCATAATCGTTAAGTCATTAGAAAAAAGAGAATTATACATGGATTCTAAAATCTCATTGAAATACGAATCCCATGGTCATTCCTAGAAGCAAAGTAAGTTTCTTTCTTTAAATAAGCTTGCAACATGAAGAAAAGAGTGACTCAGGCTAAACAAAATGAATCAGTTAGCCAAGCATAGGTTATAGCAGTAAAGTATGAGGTCCTACGATATCTAAATTGACTAATTCAGAGTTACATTTTCTGTTACTTGAAAACAACAGAAGGAGATGTATTAGCACTTCAAACAAAACGTGTCTCTTTTCTTGATGTTAGAATAAGCAATCATTTACATATGTAATATTACCTTGTTTAATACATTAGCAAATTATTATACTCATACGCAGTTATACACGAATTTTACAAAAAAAATAATTTCTAACTCATTGCTAAAATAAAGTAATCATTTAAACTACATAATTAGAAAGTTATTTTTTCAGCATAGTGCTTTCTATGGCATTTAAACTAGAAGAGCAGCAACTCAGAATCATATTTTGAACACGAAAAGACCACAATAATCATAGAGTTAACTCAGAGGAAGAAAATTTTAGCTAATAAATACACGCTGGATAAAATTTGAAACTGATTACTTTGATCAAAGAAATATGCAGATGGTAACACCTTAAAGGAAAAAGCCAATATTAAGAGCTACATACTATCATCAGCTATCTATTCATATAAAGACTTAGTCGAACTCTTTACTTTCATTTAATTTTTATTCAAACAGAGATACCTAAGTTCATGATTTCTACACACCAATCAACTCTAAATCACAATTCACACACATAATAAAATACAGTTCATTCAAACAAACGTACAATCATTTCAGATATTTGAAGAAGAAGAAAAAAAAATATTTCAGTTACTGACCTTTTGCGGGCAGGAACTGGGCGTGGATATTGCCGGTCACTAGTAGAACTT